TATAATAATATAGTTCGTTCGATTTGAATGACGCGTATGATATAATATAAAAAATGCACAATGCGTAGGCGGAATTATTATTATGACGGCGTTAATGCTTGTACTATGCCCGTTGCGTGCGGTGGTTCGTTGGTACGTCGATATAATATTATAACAATTGTTTTATTAAATCATTATATGTATGGTAATTATAATATAAATTGTATATAAGTATTTATATTACACTACGTTTTGCGTACTGTACATTTTGTGATACTGATTATTTACATATACTAATACATCGAGCGGCAGCAGCTATTCGCACAACTAGAGGCCGTGATCTTATAATAGGAACACGCTTAAAGATTATTTACATCAAATCATTTATATCATGATAATATTATATAATATAAATATATATTTCAAAAAAAAAAAAACAAACAAACAATAATCATAGAATGGTTAAAAATATGTTATTATTGGGTCTTACGACAAAACGTTAAAATTTATAGCAGCGGGATATATTATAATATTGATGCGTGGCAATTTTTCTTCTGTTACTCGCAATATTGATTTTATATATTATATCGTATATATATATATATATATATATATCGAGAGTTTATACGCTACGCTAGCTACTACTACGACTATAAATTATTTACGCAGTTGAAGCTGAACCATAAATAAAACGCATGTGACTGAAATAAAATACAAAACACGAATATAATAATATGATATTATTCTACGGACGTTAATATGGCAACAAAAATATAATAATAATAATAATAATAATAAGTAATAAACTAATGAATAAACTATAATAGTGCTGAAATACTGAGTAAAAACTTATTTTTAAAAAAGGATAAAAATATTATATTAATAGAACGCGTGGGAGTGTGTATAATGATATTACAATATTTAGTGTAAAATGATAATAATAATATTATGTATTATGATGATGGGAAAGGCGCGGCGGCGTATACCTATTTARGTATCACTCGTTCAGAAGAACCTGTGGTACCACTGGGTCGGGGGCGGCGGTCCAACTGTCGTGGTCGACGTGGTTTTTGGCAGCCTGGACCCGAATTCCCAGAGCCGGACGTCCTGTTTCTGCTGGGGTAGGTGGTGCTGTAGACGATGCTGCTGCTGCAYCGAGTCTTCGGACTGCAGCTGCTGTTGCTGTCGTTGTTGTTGATCCGGCCATCCTGTCGGCCACCACGTAGGATGCCTGCTGCTCTCGTACATCTTGTTTGTGGTCCTGTACGGGGCTGGTCCTGGGAACCTGATCAGGTTTGCGCTGTCCGCCTGCGCCGTCGCCGAAGCCGGATCTTCGTCTCCTGGGAACCGGACTTGCACGCCCCCGCCGCCGATGACCGGACGCTTGACCAGCGCGGTGGCCATGTGGTTGTGCTGCTGCTGCTGATAGAACTGTTGCTGCTGTTGCTGGTACAACTGTTGCTGCTGTTGGTGTTGCTGGAGTAGTTGTTGCTGTTGTTGGAGCTGYTCGAACTGCTGCTGTTGCCGGAAACCCGCGCACACAGCGTAATACAGATACGCGTTCGGAGCCGAACAATCTGGTTCCGGTGACGACGTCGGCTCTTCCGGTTGATCGTCGTAGTATTCGGGCGTGACCGTGTCCGTGATCGGTGATTGGGTCCTTCCACCCGTTGTGTACGGAAACCGTGTGGTACTAACCGGTCTACTACCACCACCGTCACCGTCCACTGAGGTGGCGTCGGCAGCCACGGCTAGTACGGTCACTACGTCCTCTTCCTCGGTTTCCGGCGGAGTTGCGGCCGTCACCGGATTTTCCGTCTCTGTCATGTCAACCGAGGTAGTGGTAACTACGGGTGACGAAAACGAAGACGAGGGTAACGCGCTGGCAGTCRTYTTGGAGGTCTGCGGCGAGTCTTCCGTTCCGGCGATTGTCGTTTTACTACTTTCCGCGTACCTGTGAGCACAAAGATAGATGATGGAATTAAGTACGTGCGTATGCATATCAGGTGTGATACTATTGTACGCGATCAGAACACTAAAGAGTGAACAATTTYGGTGGTGCCTAAAMTTAGGAAAACAGAGTAATACAACTATTGAAAGATTTGAAAGTGATGACAAGTAAGGATAAGTACCTATATACTATGTAAGTCAACATGGTAGTATTTGCTGTCTGAATAATARCTTCGATGAAGCAAAAGTTTGTTCAGAAATAAATATGATACAAAACTACGTAATATGTATTATGACATATAACGTACGCAACTATACCTATTACCTATAATCTTTATTAATATAATTTATTATAYCCTCCAAATTTCAATAGTATCAATAATGTAAAGTATTATGCTCTAATTAATGTTCTTACCGATGTAGACGGCAGTATTAAAATTATATTGATACACATCTACTCATGACTATCTTTGTTTTAATTTATACTATTGGTAGGCCATTGATCATCTCTTGTAGTAACATAATTTTCATTCGCTTAACGTTCTAACTACTACATATAGAGATCACATAATATGCACTGAAAATGTACACTAAACGTAACAAATAAAATATCTAATTACAAAACTTCCTATAGCTAATTTAAGAACCTAACTTTACGTCAAAGATAATCAACACTATAGGCACATTATTTACGCATAATCATTGATCTTCAGGTTTAAATTTTCTACGCGTATGGTACTTTATGGCTATCGTGTTTTTATAATTTTCCAATAGTTATATCTAA